CGTCAGTCTCGTGGTTCCTTCCACCTGACAAACCGAGCGTTTTCTTCTAGGAGTTGTTCCAGCAACTTATATTGAGAAACTCCTCATTTAATAGTTTCGTTTTTGAGGAGCATCGCCATTTGGTTTTCCGGAGAAAGATGTGATATTTTTCATCAATAGTTGCGGATTATCTGAGGAAGAAGCTCGGGATTTCATGCTTTTTCTGAGTGAGTTTCTAGAACCAGTCTCTTCGAAAAGTGACATTTTCCGAACAAAAAAATAGTGTGAAATTCTGAAATATCTGTCTAGGCAAAGCAGCACAGGTTAAGCTTCGGTAGCACTGATCGAGCGATCAGATGAGAGAGCGCTGAAATCCTCAAAGTTAGATGAGGGTTTGGGAGAGTGAAAAAAGAGGTGCATCAAAAAGTCGCCTAACCATAAGCGGGAGCTCAAAGTCGGTAAGAGACGGAGCTTACCGACCTCCGTGATAACGATCTGAACGTCGATAGAGCATCATCTAGGGACAGTACTACTTTTGTGCTTCGCCCTCCCGCGCTTCGTTTATTGAGATAGATGATAGACAGAAAGAAAAATGGCATTCCCAGATCAAATTTAGAGGGGCTTCTCTATTCTGAGTTAGAAGTATGTCCAAAAATAATTAAATCTCATAAAATTCACAAAAATCTTCCAGTTATACATAGTTCGTTTCTAGCATTCGCGAACCAGATGAATGATCAGGATGAACAAGCTGACAGTACGATTGCTAAGGGCAACAGCATTGGTCAACCTCGTCAGCAAGTTACATAGCGGTGAGGACATCTTGCTTGATTCTTGAGCTCTATGACTGAAAGTGAAGCGGTAAACCAAGCCTACACCGCACACACTACGGTGCCGTCAAGACAATGAACACCACGACGACCCTGCTTGAGCGTTTTGTCTGTTTCAGCACGTGTATTGCTTACAATGCACAAGTGTAAAACGGAAGTATTTTTGTCGCTTGGGTTTTACTATGTCAAAATATGAGAGACGGGCGATTCTATCGTGAGTTATAATAGTCAGGTCATCGCGCAGCGAATGGCGCCACAGTTTCACTGTCTCATGTCTTCTTCTTTCTGGCCTCTCGAACAGTGATCCTGCTTTTTCCCATCACCTTAGCGCCTTCTTGTTCTCTTCCCGTTTTTCGTCCGGAACTTGTCAGCTGCAGAAAGGAGGGCTGCATTGGGCGCCCTTGATGTAGCTACCCTTTCTGGCAAATTACATATTTAAAAGAAGCATTACAGAAAATGTAGTTGATATCTCGGAAAACGGTGCGTGAGGGGGGGGGGGGAACAGAAGCGCTTCGTCCCACTTATCACCTCATGCGAACCGCTTGTCTCATGGTCAGTCACCCTTGAGATTTTTAGTGATGAGGGGGGGTAGATGTGAAAGAGGTCCTTTTAAAAATAACAGCAGGGGAGCTAGCAAGACAGTACGTTTGCGAACCAATCTAAAACATCCTTTCTTGTGCACTCAGACCTTCTTTCTCCTTCCTCCGAGGGCAGTGCCTGAAAAGAGTGAAGTGAACGGATCCGTAGTTGCAGTAGCGTGTCACTTTTTGGTCAAAATTGCACGAGAACGGGTGTGATGATGAAATGATGTGATCATGCCGTCTCCATACTCCGCCCGCTCCACCTCACGACCAACGAGCGGCCTAGCCGTAGCCAAATGCGCTCTTTGTCTGCGTTCTCTCGATTCTGATGTTCTCTACCGCTGAGAACGTGCTTCGCTGCAGAACCTTGTGCTGTAAGTGCTCCATCTCGAGGATAGCGCGGGCGGAGTGTAGAGACTGCATTCGGGTTAGCGCCACTCTACAGCCCCGTTTCGCACTTTTGAGCTGAGAGTGTGGCACGCTACTGCAACTGCGGAACCATTTGCCTCGCATATGGCAATTCCTCGAGAGTGATGACTTAACAGTTTGTTTTTTGATACAGTATCCATTTGGGAAGTAAACACATATGGAATTCTGTAGGGGAAGCCGAGTATATAGCAGAGCTGCTATGCCTCCTACCAGATCTGAATACTGCCGTTTTGTTGACCTTTATAACCTTTCAGAAACAAAAAGTGCGATTTCTGGGTCCCACATAAAGAACGCACTGGAACATGTCTCCGTCGCGAAATCGCCACATATCCATCCATCAGCTTTGCAACCTCCTTCAGCACTACCATCAACGGCGAAATTTGAAGGTACGATGAATCTCTAGTGATATTTCGAGGCCGAAAGGCAGCGATTTCAGAAAGCTGATAGTGATTCTAATAGGAAGACATCAAAGTTTTTGAGCGTGGTATTTTGTCGTGTTGGCAAAAGGGCAGTTGGGCGACCGGGGAAGAGCATTTTGCACTTTCGTTGCTCCACTAGTTCTGCATTGCATATCTTACTTTTATGAAACCTGTGACCTCCCGTGAAGCCGGAGCAAGCTCGTCGAGCTACAGTCGTCCGAGCACTTGATTAGGGCGGCAAGGGTTGCGACGCGGCTGCAGCGCGTCACGACCGCGGCGATCAGCTGTTTCCAGCCTAATTTGGCCATTTTCTCCCTAATTTTCACTGCATTTTCTATTTTTTTCAAGGTTAGTTGTTTTATTGTCTTTATGAAGTACATGAGGACGTGGAGTCTTTTTTGTTTCTATAATAGAGTGTTTTTGCGATTTTTTTTCAGGTGTTTGTTCAATTGTCTGCCTAACTGTTTAATTGTGCGCAAAAAACAGAGGAATCTCAATCATAATTTACCTTGTGAAGACAAGGAACAACTAATCTCGAGAAAAGCAGCCATAACAGTGTAAATTAGGGGGGAGGAGGGGAAAATGGCTAAAATAGGCTGGAAACAGCTGATCGCCGCGCTCGTGACACGCCGCAGCGCGTCGCGACCGTTGCCGCCCTAATGAAGCGCCCTAATCAAGTGCCCGGATGACGACTATACCATGGTAGAGGTTGCTACTCTTGTAAACTCATCAAACAGCTCTTGGGTGGACACTCGATGGGAAGACAAAAGTGCAAGATGCTTTTCCTCTCCCGTCGCTATTGTTATTTTTCTTTTTCTGTGCCCTACTTCTTGTTTTCAGGTCTGTCAGGTTTCCGACCTACATTTGCGAGGCACAATGATGTCAAATATTATCCAAACATTATCTGCGTAATCTGCAAGGAATGGGTATGCTCGCGTGCTCGGTTAGCATCTTTAAAATTTTTACGGATTCTGGATTTCTCAAAAACCGTCGAGGTGGCCCGTTTAGGACGGAAGTAGCGTTTCACTCCGGTATCTATACCGGAGTGAGGCGGAGGTGGTGTAGTGACAAGTGGCGCGCTTACCACTCGCGCGGTCCCGGGTTCGAATCCCGGGTCGACTCCCGCCCAGGCCAACCAAGCCTTCCCTCCGGGGACGGTAAATTGGTACCAGATTCGTCTGGGAGGATAAAACACTGACTTGTACATCGGCTGGCCACCGCAAGTCATTGTATAGGCCACATCGCATTCAATAAGCCACTACGATTCTGAATGGAAGTAGAATGCGTGCCGCATCCCACAAAGGGATTGATCAACGGCGAAGACTTTATCCGCTATCCTTATCCTATACCGGAGTATACCATTAGCTGGGGATTTCAGTCAATTCCGTTCGCTCCCCCCTTCTTCGTAGAGAACGCGACCCGCCTTTTCCTATCCTGCCTACCACTTTCACAGATTTCCATAACTTCCTACTTTCTTTGAGAAGAATTTGCGTGGAGGGGGGCAGGGCATGCGGACATGCAGAACAGGAAATACCGCACAAAATCAGAAATGGGAAATTTCTCCCACATAAGACCCTCCGAGCGACCAATTGCACCCTCCCCCACCTTGGGGAATCCTCAGCGATGATGTGCCTTGATCTATACTCTACAATAAAACCCATCAGACAATCTGGTCTGAGGAAATGGGAAGAGAGCGGTTGGGGGCATTTGTCGTAGTATAAAAACACAAAGGATGAAGTCATGGTCCTTGAACACTCCCCTTTTTGAGATGCTGCACCATTCCACTTCCATTCAGAGTCGTTAAAGCTCACTGAGTGTCATGTGAACTATACAAGAAATTGCAGGGCCAGCCGATATCCATGTCAGGGTTATTAGCCTGCAAATTTTGAAACAGTTTACCGACCGGGGGCAGACGGCTTGATTGGCTTGGGCGGAAGCCTATTCGAAATTTGTTCCTCAGAAAGGGATGCCATTGCCACCGCACCACCTCCGCCTCCGTATAAAAACATGCTATTCAAAACTGAAGATCTGCTCAATCTTAAACATTTCAGGCGACTTCACGTCGGAGCTCACTTTGACTATCGTAAGTATAAATGCCCGTACTGCAAGTTCACCCATAGCAAGGAGATATTTGTTGATGCTCACATGAAAAGAATCCATAACATGGAAGGAAAGGTGGAGCAGAAGGACGATGCTGTCATTGAGGAGAGGTGAGTTACTCTGAGGTTTCTAAGGTTTTCTTACGAGATATTTGGCTACCTAGAATTGAGGACGTATGCAACATGAGCATAGCGATGACCAGAGATATATTACGTGGACATTACGACGAGATAATTCATGGGAAGTACTCAAGTCCTTGCACGGTAAGTAGACTACTCTACATAACAAGCTTGGAAGCAGTTCGGCGACGGGGAGGGGGCATTTTGCACTTTCATAGCTCCACCTATTCCGGTCTGCATACTTCACTTGTTGATACCTATGAATTCCTGTAAATCTGGAGCAATCATCGAGATGGGTCGACGCATCGATGGGAAGTAGCGATAGTGCAAAATGCCCCCCCCCCTTCGCCAAACAGTGCCCAGAGCATTATGTTCATTAGTCATTTCCACGTCTAGGATCCACAGAAGCTTTTCTTTCAGCCTCGCACCCAAATCCCAAACAAGGAGCGGAACAAGCCGAACGAAAGTGCTCACTGCAGTTACTGACGCGACGAACAGACAACTACTATCTTGAGAGAAGAATAAGCTCGAGTACTTCATCACATTTTATTCTTGTGCATATGGAAATAAATAAATGAGTAAAGGTTATTCAGCTTACACAAGAATTTTTGAAAAGTACTGGTATAGATTAGGAGATCACCGTAGGTGTAGTGTAAAGGGTCACGCGGGATTATTAGCGCCTCTGAGGAAGAAGCAGAGGCACTGCCTTGTGACTCTTCTCATTTATTGTAGGATAATCGAATAGGTTAGCTCTTCCCGATTGTTACCTCAATAGTTCTGAGCTTCGTTTTCGTACTGAAAGTTGTCTAGGAACTATTGTTTTTTTTTGAGGGGGGAGGGGGCTGGGGGGGAGGGAGAGTGAAGGGAGGAAGGACCGAGTGGGAAGCAGTATCGCGTCTGCTCATTTGCTCACTCCTCAAAATGCGTCCTTAAAGTGGGAATTTAACCCTCTGTGTATCTATGAGTACATAGTTTCCCTTCTCCAGAGTCCCTTCCCCTTGAAGAAACACGTCTCTCGGCTCGTCACAATTTCTTGGCGCCCTAGAGAAAATAGCAGAGGCACTAACTCGTGACTTTTATCAACTAGGATATCAAATGGTCCGAAGGTTCATCCATAATTATCTGATTAGTTCTTTTTCTTACTGAGAGTTCTTGAGGCGCTAACGTTTTTTTTTGAGGTAGGGGGAGGTAGGGGTGGAATCGAGCGGAAAGCGATGTTCTCATTTGCTCACTCCTCGAAATGTGTTCAGAAAGCTTGATCTGCCCTTTGTGTATCTGAGAGCACATACTTTCCGTGAGGAGTCGGTGTGGAAAGAACGACGTCGAAAAAAGGTTCAGGGTGGAAGTAGGCGGAGGTATTGGGAAGGAGCTTGCAGCAGTACATAGTGTTGTCTAGTTAATCAAGTGTTCGATAGAAGTGTGTCCGTTTGTATCTAAAACCGTGTATCTGTATAGTGTATCTCAAACCTGTCTGAGTTGGAAAGGTGTCGTTTTAAGATGAAAATGGTATAAGTGTAGTTCACTGCGGACGGTTGGACGTGTCAAGCGGGGTTAGTTTGGCAGGGTGTCAGACCCGTTCTCCACAGAGGGCACGCCATGGCGTTGTATTCATTTCTTGAGAATACGACCCCCTATTCCATCCTCAAATACGACCCCCCTCCCCATGCTACCTACCACTTTCCTAGATTTTCCCAACTTCCTACCACTTTTTCCATTTTTTCCCGAAAAATTTCCAGTTTTGCCAAGAATTTTCCGTCGAGCGGGTGGGGCGAGGGGAGGGGGGGGGAGTGTATATACCCAATGTGAAACAGGAAAATTTCTCAGATTTTCCCTAACCTCCTACCAGTTTTTCCGAAATTTCCCGAAAAATTTCTGGTTTTTCCCCAAAATTTTGCTGTCGAGCGGGGGGAGAGGGAGATCGTCAGGATTTAACTATCATTCTCAACTATCGGAGATGTATAGATCTTTGGCAGTCCTCTCCAACAACGACCAATAACCGAATCCCTCCCCACCCTTTATAGCGTCCGTGAAACAAGAGAAATCAACTATCAAAAAAGTTTTTTCTAGACCAAATACGACTCCCCCGTTGTGATCATCACAATGGTGGCGTGCCCTGAATCCACCAGAAGTTAAACCAAGCGCTGATATGACTGTATCATATCGTTCGTATTACTCGTTTTCTACCACTTTTTGTCGCATGCGCGCTTCAACAAGAAGGCAGAGAACGGCTTTGTGACACACTCATACTGCCTGACACGCCCAACCGTACGCAGCGAACTGTAGAGTGTATATACCCTTGCTGATGGAAAGATAACACTGGAGAAGGCACATTTATTCCAGAACCTTAGCACACACCTCTCTCGCAGCAGACTTCATATCCATCGGCACCGCTCTGGAAAACAGATGAAACGTCTCGGATGAAACCTAAGAATCTCGAGTAATTGCTGAAAAAAAACCGTCCGAATCGTCGTCAAACGGAAGTCTTGTGATACAAACATACTTTTTCTGCTGCAGAGCAAAGGGAGAAGTGGGCAGCGAGAGCGAAAAACACGTCCGAAGAGCAATATATGACTATATTATTCGGGTCGCCGGCTAGAGCCGACACACTCTCTTCTGTGATATGTCCCGGCTTCGTCCGCGGGGACGCGTCTCAGCCGCGCCCACCCCTCTTTCACATGTTTCAATACCCAAATTATACCTGGCTTTTAACTTATTGTGCACATGTTCAACGCTCCACAACCAACAGTATCATAGCTGCTACTTTCAACATTATCCCCCACAAATCCTATCCGCAGCCTCAACGTGGCGTGGGGTGAACGGTTTGGACTGTTCCAAACCGTACCAATGCGGAGGGTGCCACGTCAGAGCCTGGCGAGCTGCGTCAAATTTCTTCACGCCGAAAACAGTAATAATTATGGGCCTCATTCCCCTGAACCTGAGGGAACCACCGACAGGGCGACGTCGGCTGGGACCGCTCGGGCGAGGCTGCAAGAATCACAGGGCCAACGGAGATTTAAGTCGCCCAGGACTAGGATGACGATCTGTACTTTCAACGCACGGACGCTTGCATCGGAAGCTCACATCGAAGATCTGATGTTGCAAGCCAGGAAGATCAAGTACGACGTCATCGGACTGACCGAGACGAGGAGGCATCGCCCGCTAACGCCGTGTACGAGACTGGAGAAGAACTGTTCCTCGGAACATGCGAC